GAAGGGGCCTGCGTGAGAGAAATCAAGGGACCTGACTTCAGCCTCTATATTTTTAAGGGCATTGGTTTGACTGTATTAAAGGGAATGAGGAAAAAATAGTGTTTTTAATAAAGCAGAACTTAATTCTGTCTCGTGTAAAAGTATACTTGGCAGTTAAGCCTGGCATGGCGGCTTCATCGGTCACAAGAGACCTGGGTTCCTTCTATCTTATTGCTCTGCCATCCTCCACTTTATGGTCCAAGACAGCTACGCCACCTCCAGCCCTTGTGGCTACATTGCAGTCAGCAGGAGGAGGATGGGGCCAGAGGCAGGGACCCTCTTCCTTCCTTTTAAGGGCACAACCCAGAAATTGCACAAATCCCTTCCATTTGTATCCCATTGGCCAGAATTTAACCACATGGCCACACTTACCTGCAAGGCAAACTGGGACTGTGTCTTTTGCTATGAATGACCAGGAGAAAGGATATCAAGGGACAAGCGATTTTTGCTGGATTGCTTGGGCAACTCATATCTCCACAGTTTCTTCCTTTGCAAATCCCTTCATTCTTTCACTCATGGATTCATTCTACATACACTAGTATATGTGCCGGGTTTGTGTTACAAAGTACTAGTTTGAACCACTTAACTGCTCATGGATCCTCCTACCAGCTGGGCCATAATCCCCAGGAGGTCAGTTGTGAGGTTCTTCCTTGCTCACCGTTATGCCCCATAATCCTTGTGCCCCCAGCATCAGTGCAGGGTCTGACACACGGAAGCCATATTATTAGCTGCCCATGAATAATGCATAGATGGGATTCTGGCTTTTGTATTTGGTGAAGACATTTTTCCTTGCTCAGAGTTTAAGTTCCTTCCCATTCCAGATCTCCTGGCTCCACCTTCCCTTATCCCCACATGCCAAGCCTTTCTGAGCTTATGAAGTAAAATGGGCCAGAATCCCAAGATTAAAAATAAATGAAAGTTCATTAATACAAGCTAACCATGAGAAATGGCTTTCCAGGTGGTTAGGTGTCAGCACTGGAGGCCAAGGACAGAGCACCAAACTCCAAATGCCATGCACTCCTATCAGCCCTCCACTGTGTTGGGCAGAGATCCCACTGGGTCTGCCCAGCAGCTCAGCAGATGGCAGGCTCGAGCCCCTGCCTGACGCTCCATCACTTTAAAACAACAGGCAAGACCTTCCACACAGGTCAGGGAGAACACGTTCGAATTCCAGCCCTGTGGGGTGATCCTGAGAAATCCATGTCTCTTTGTCCTGTGTTGTTTTGTTTTGTTTTTTCAGTCCTTATTGGAGGAGTGAAGATATTTTTCCCACTGATTTCTAGAGAGAGTGGAAGTGAGGGGGAGGAGAAGAGAGAGTGAGAGAAACATCAATGTGAGAGAGACATATTAACTGGTTCCCTCCTGCTCATGTCCTGACCAGGGGCAGGGATTGAACCTGCAACCGAGGTATGTACCCTTGACTAGAAATTGAACTGGCGACGCTTCGATCTCAGGCAGACGCTCTAACCACTGAGTGACACCGGCCAGGGCCAGGGCCTCTTTGAATATCAGTTTCCTCATCTAAAAAAAGGGGCGAATAGTAGGATCTATCTGTAATGAGCTATAAAATGCAGGTAACAATGGTGCCTCCCTCGTAGGCAGAGGTTCCTAAACTTCCTCAGATCACAGCACCCTTAGCATGTCAGTACTTTTTTCACAGTGGGCCAGGCCCAAAGAAATACCTAACAGTTATTAAGCAATTCGTTTTAAACAACTTAATAATTATAGTTTACACAGTGCCCAACAGAAGTTAGTGTGTGTGTGTGTGTGTGTGTGTGTGTGTGTGTGTGTGTGTTTTAATTTTTTAAATACTTTGCGGTGCATCTGTGAGATTTCTGCCATTCCTCAGGGTGCCTCGGCACATGGTTTAGGAATCAAAGCTAGAGGTTTTGAAGATGAAATGAAGTTACGGATGGCAAGGGTTTAGCATGATACCTGGCCTGGAGTACATCAATAAATATGATTGTCCTACACTATCCTTCAGTTCTCTCGTTCTTTCTGGGTCTCCTGCCACGGCCACACAGCCATACGTTCTATCCCTGGCGCCCACCACCGGCTGGTTTCTGCTTACCGCCTTTCCCCTGGGCCCCTCCAGGCCTCTGGCCCCACTTCGGAACTAACTTCCTTCCTGGTCTCACTTCCTCACCCCTCCCAGACCTCACACACTTGGCGTGCCCTGTTCCTGGGTGGAGTGCACATCCCTGCCCCTTAACCTTGGACTTGGCCACGGGACTCACTTTGCCCAGTGGAATGTGGTGCAAGTGTCCGTTCTGAGCTTAGGCTCTAAGAGGCCTCCCGTGGTTCCACTTGCTCTCTTATCCTTCGCCATTGAGAAGGGAAGAACACCTCACCCTACCCCCTCACGCCCGCCACTGTGGCCCAGTGATTCGAGGAGGAGGACAAGAGAATCATGAAGCAGGCTCCCATCTGCAGATCTGAAGTCTGATGAAGCCCACCCCCAACCCACCAACTCCAAGGTGGAAATAAACAATTGTTGTTTGAAAGCGTGGAGTTTTGGAGAGCTTTGTGACACCGTGTCCTTGTGACAATCCAACCTCTGTACCCAGTCCCTACAGCCGAACTTGCAGTAGGCACTCAGTAAGTGATTGTTGAAAGAGAGAATTAAAGGGTATCCACTTCAGCCCTTGCCAAGTGTGGCTCAGTGGATAGTACGTCAGCCTGTGGACTGAAGGGTCCTGGGTTCGATTCTGGTCAAGGGCACATACCTAGGTTGTAGGCTCGATCCCTGGCCCTGGTTGGGGTACGTGCAGGAGGCGACCAATGTGTCTCTCTCACATGGATGTTTCTCTCTCTCTCCGTTATTCCCCCTCCCTTCCACTCTCTGTAAAAAATCAATGGAAAAAATCCTTGGGTAAAGATTAACAACAACAACAAAAAATATCGGCTTCATAGAATGCTCTGAAGAATAAATGTGGTGTCAGTTAGAAATGTGTTTTCCCAACTAAAACTGGGGCTCATTGTCTCACAGAACAGGCAGATGCTATTGGTGATTCTGCGCTCGGGGATTGCAAAGCCTAGGCAGTTTTCTCATCCTTTGTCTTAGGGTTGGAAGATGGTTACTGTAGCTCCAGGCATCACACCACATTCAAGGCAGAAAGATGGAGAAGAAAGTAGGAATAGAGAGGAGCATCGTTGACAGTTTCCCTTTTGTCAGCTAGATAAAAGTGTTCCTGGAAGTCCGAAAGCAAATTTCTGTTTTGATCTCATTTGCTAGAAATGGGACACCTGGGCATCCCAGAAGCAGGGGGACTTGGAGGATGAACATTCCCCTTTGTCTAAACGCTATGGAAGGGAGGGTGGGGACTGGGGACACAGAAGGAATAGATGGGGTATTTGCTCCAAGTGAGATTTTATCCTATCTAATAAAGAGGGAATATGCTAATTGACCATCAAGCTCACAAAGATGGCAGTGCCCACGGTCTATAAAGAAGGAATATGCTAATTGACTGTCATGCCCTCAAAAATAGTGGCATCCACAGCCACAAGATGGCAGCACCCAGTCCCCTCAGCCCCGCAGCCACCCAGGGTCGGCCTGAGGTACAGGGAAGCCTTGGATGGTGGTTGCCCAGCTGCCCAGGGCTGCCTGAAGCTCAGGTAACCAGGGGGAGGCCAGGCTGAGGGACCCCCCCCCCCCCCTTCAGTGCATGAGTTTTCATGCACCAGGCCTCTAGTATATAAATAATAGAAATACATGTTTTATAGAGGAAAACTATCAAAACTACATATCTATCTATATATCTTTCTATCTATCTATCTATCTATCTATCTATCTATCTATCTATCTATAAGCGTAAGCGACAATTACTAATGAACGACCAAAACGACTGGAACGACCAATTGACCAGTTGCTATGACACGCACTGACCACCAGGGGGAAGATGCTCAATGCAGAAAATGCCCCCTGGTGGTCAGTGTGCTCCTGCAGCCAATCTCCCAGGGCCAGCTAACCGCCCATGGTCCCTCCCCTGGCTGGTCAGCCCCCATCAGCCCCTGGTGCTAAACAATTTGTCGACAACTTGCTGCTAGGCCAGGGTTTTGTATGTAGCTGAGCAGCTCCCTCGCTATGATCTATTGAAAGCCAGTTCACAACACAAGGGTTTGTCTCGCTCCCATCCTCTCCCTTCCCCAGGGACCGCCCGCCCACCGTGGTGGCAGTATGGCAACAAGAGAAGGGGGGGTGGGGAAAGGAGGCAGGGAACTGTGCGGTGGTAGAGTACCAATGGCAGAATCAGCATCTGGCATCAATTTCTTCCACACCCAGTCCAGAGACCATCACCTCCTCTCCTGACCCCGTCGGGACCTTTGGGCCCCAGGCTGGAATGGGGAACCAGGGATGGGTGGCAGCGGACACAGCCCTTTCCCAGGGGGGGTGCCGAGGGCTGGCTCCCTCCCCAGGGCCAGTGGCCATCCTCCTGTGGTCCCTCTCCGGGGCTGGCCAACCCCTAGTGGTTTCTTACCCTGCCGGCAGGCCCCGATCAGCCCAGCCCTGATCAGCCCTGATCACCCGCTGGGTCAAGGGTCCCCACCCGTGCACAAATTAGTAAAAATACAGTATATGTCACTTAGAGCCCTCAGGAGAGGACAGCTATTCTCATAACAATTGTTTTCATCATGTAAAGCTTTTAGGTCTCTGTAATCCTATTGGCATTAGGTCTTGGATTTTGGAACTTGCAGGCATGGAGGCACCATTATGCCAATGGTCTCCCTCCTGCCACCCCCCCCCCACCTTTTCTCTTTAGAGCACTGAAACCCTTTAAAAAAAAAAAAAAAAAAAAACCTACATTTTCCAATGTGAGCCACTTCCTGATCTCATTAAGTTCATCCTCAGTGATTTGGCCAGACTCTGCTTCCAGCCTGAAGCAGCCAGGAGATTGTGTAAGTCAACAGTCCGTCAGGCCCATCACCAGGCCAACGTCAAGGTCTCTCCCAAGGACACTGAGATGAAAACAGCAGAAGAGCCAGCCCGGAGGCTTGAGCAGACCCTGGAGAGGCTGAGGAAGGAACTGGTAAGGCTTTGCATTTCTTCTTACCTAACGCTGCCACCCCACATATTCCAAGGTTTGCTGGTCCCCCTTCCCAGGGGCCCCATTAGCTGGGACAGAGGCTGCAGGCTGGGGTGTAGGCCCTGCAGGCAGCCCTCTGGGACCAGCCACGCAGTGCACAGTCGCCACCTCAGGAACAGGGATAAGTAGGTCGTGGCCTACATAGGAGGCTCTGGGTGCACTGCGTGCCAGACCAGCTTCAGAAATTACACTGAGTCCTGGGTATGTGCCCAGCTCTGCTGCTGTGTGGCTTCTACCAAGTGGCTTTACCTCTTTGAGCCTCAGTTTCCTTATCATAAGATGGGGATAACAGTTGTACCCACACTGCAGGGGTTACTGAAAGGATTCGGTGAGAAGATAGTGTAATTCGCTCGGTGTCTGCTCGGCACATCGGCTACCATCCTGACCCAGGTGGCTGTGGAGCACAGTGGCTGTCTTAGCCTCGGTGTACTGTATGTCCACCTGGGGAGAGGCTCGCACAAGGATTGGGGTGGTAACGATTCATTTTGGAGGTAAAAGCTCAGAGCAGTGAGAGTGAGGAAATGGGGAGTGGCGGTCAAGGGCACATGCCCAGATTGTGGGCTCCATCCCCAGTGAGGGACTTGCAGAAAGCAGCCAATGCATGATTCTCTCTCATCATGGACTAGAGCCTGGTGCATGAAAATTCATGCACTGAAGGGGGTGTTCTTCAGCCCAGGCTTCCCCCCTCTCACAGTCCAGGAACCCTCAGGGGAGGGAGGCAACCCTGCAATCAGGGGAAGGCAACGCCCCCATCACACCTCTGCTGCTACCACTGCCGGTAGCACAAGCCTCAGTTACCTGAGCCTCAGGTGGCCCTGGGCAGCTGGGGGGCTGAGGGGACTGGCCGCCACCATCTTGTAGCTGTGGGCACTGCCTTCTTTCAAAGTGTGACAGTCAATTAGCTTATTCACTCTTTATTAGCTATGAGCACCACCATCTTTGAGGGTGGGGCACTCAATTAGCATATTCCCTTCTTATTGGATGTAGGTGCTGCCATCTTTGCAACAGCATGAGGGTCAATTAGCATATTCCCTCTTTATTAGATAGGGTGTTTCTCTCCCTCTTCCTTCCTCTCTGAAATCAATAAAAATGAATATTTTTTTAAATGTGTGGTAGGAAAACCCTAAAATTGAGAAAACACAGACGTTTTCCCAGGAATTAGGAAAGGATGGCTGTGTGTTCTCAGTGGTTTCCTCTTTCTAGCTCTCTACTCTCTTGGTGTTATTACTCCTGCCTGCAGGGTGTAATTCACTTTAATATGAAGTCACTATCACCTTAATGCCTATAAAATGATGTGTTAGTGAGGGTTATAGCATATGATGGGGTTGTAAATAAGAAAAATTATATTTAATGATGATGATGGTAATGAAGATCACAAATCTTGGTAGTTCAGTATGTCCTATTATAGAGTGGGAACTAATTCATTCCATCCTCATCATGTTACTGGACCAAAGTCTATGTGCCCGATGCTTCAAAAGGCCAAAACTCAAAATGTCGGGGTTTGGGAGAAGGAAAGGTTTATTGATCAAGAAGGCACCCACTGAGAAGATGGGAGAGCTAGTGGTGCCTCAGATCCATCTTGCCCACTGGACTAGGCTGGTGCTGGTGGGGCACGTCTTAATTAGAGGACCTCGGAACCTGGCCATCGATGGTAAAAAGACATCAACACTGGATCTTCCTGGACAATAGAACCTTGGCTTCTGAAAGGATTACAGTGTTCAAGTTCCCATTATGTCCCCTTCCGGTGGTTCTGTGAGGTGCAGGCTGGGGCAAGGGAGGTGGAGGATGTGGGTTGGGGGGGGGGAGCCGGGTGTTGTGAGACTTTGGTTCTGGGTGCAGCTGGAGGCCAAAGTTCTCTCCTCTGAGCTGTACTCTGGCTGCATGATTGTGGTCTGGGTCTGCTGTGTCTGAAAAGCAACTCAGTACTTCTTTGCAGTGTAGGACCATTCTGAGCTGGTGACAGTAAGAGGTAGGTGATTTGCTTTCCACTTTGCAGATAAAAAAACTGAGGCTTTGGTGCAAACAGTTTCTTTGAGCTTGTCGGCTTGTCTCCGATGAGACAGAAATGAGAACAGGCTTTCTGGGGGGATGCCCTGTGCACTGCCCTCTCGCACACCTGTTCTCTCTCTCTTAGGCTGAGATGCAGATCCAAGACCAGAAGCTCCTGCTCACCCTGCGGCATCTTCACAGTGTCCTGGAGGAGCTGCGTTCCGAGAGTGCCCACTGGGAGGACGCCATGTCCAGCAGAGGGACATCGCCCATCAGAGCTCGAGCAGGCTCCGAAGGCCGGGGTCAGCAGCCCCTGGCATTTAGGCGGCTGGCCCAGCTCCTCCACGGGGCAGATGGCCGACGAAGCTCCCTCCCTTAACCCTGGGCTTGAACCCCCCACCACTAATCTAAGTTTTGTGATGCTGTTGGGGTGGGGAACACTAGGATGGGAGTCAGGAAGTCCCTAGGTTCACCTCTGTCCTCATCTACTAACTGTCCCTCCACTTCTCTGTGTCACTCGTTATTTCTCTGTCAGATATCAGCATTTTTAATGAGGCACAAATAAGGTATTGGATGTGAACATGCTTTGACAAACACGAATATGTTACATGGTTCTGGAAAGCACCATGAAGTAATCCTATCCTTGGGAATTTCTCAAAAAGTAATTGTTAGAACAAAGAGATCAGTGTGCAAGGAAGTTTATCTAGTCTTGCCATGATGAAAAACAGAAGCCTGTGTAACGCTTGATGGTTGTTTTCTGTCTTCCAACATGACTTTTCATCCCCCTTTATCTAAAAGCAACAGACGCTGTCACCATTCTGGCTATAGGGATGGACATGTGATCAGGCCTGCCCAGTTATAATGCACAAGAAGCCCGATGCATGAAGATACGTGCTAGAATGGGCTTTCCTATCCCTGGCTGCCGGCACTGTCTTTCCACTCTGGCCCAGCCCCTATATGCTCAGGCCCTGGAGCCCCTCTTTCCCCTCCAGGAGTCGCCTCTTTCCACTCCAGCCCCACCTTCCCATGTTGCCCAGAGGCTCTGAAAGGTGGGGATGAAGGGGGGAGTAGGACAGAATACCAGCCCCATCACTCAGCGCCTATGTATGCAAATTAACTACCAACTATGGTGGGTTAATTTGCACATCGCTCCTGATTGGCTGATGGCGTAGCGGAGGTATAGTCAATTTACATGTTTGTCTATTATCAGCTAAGATGGTCACTCTAACAACAAGATTGGCTAAGTGGGTTGGCTGAGTGGGTCAGCACAGCCAATCACAGCCCTTCTCTGGGATTACTAGCTGGATGCTTGTTCTATTGCAGTTGCAAAGCTGGGACTGCCAAAGGCCATGTAACCTGCCAGGTGAGGAAGGCCTGTCTGTGCTTGGAAAGAAAGAGGCTAATCTTAAAAGAGAAGTAGAGAGAGGACCACGCAAGAGATAGGCTGAGAGGTAGAGTGCTTGCTCTTTTTAAAATGTCCCTGGTTTCAGGTCCCAGTTCAATGAGTTATTCCTGCATTCTTTCCAGTGACTGAAGCCAGTGAATTCCACCACCACCACACACACCAATTTGTTTTTGCTTAAGCAGCTTTGAGTAGGGTTTCCCTCATTTGCAACCAAAACAGTCCTGAAGAATATAATCCAGATGTTCATAGAAGCAAAGGAGGGGAGTGGTGAAGAAAACAGCATTTCACTCACTCAGGGTTGGCAATAACAACCCTGTAATAGCAGGCAACGAGGTTTATGATGTGGCAGAACATTCAGTGGCATGGGGTGCTGGAGTTATAACTTTGAAAAAAAATAGAGGAGGTGAAAATAAAAAGTCCTGTTGTTACTGTTGCTACGATGGTCTAATTATTGGTAGGCCTTTTTATTTTTTAAAATCAACTTGCATGTTGTTAGAATATTGTTTTTATGGTCTTGAAAAAAATAAACCCATTGCATACAAGCACAAAGTGTGGGGGACTTGCATTATATGTACAATAATGTGTTCAGCCATACTAATCTGAGATTTTTTATTTTATTTTTTTAAATATATTTTATTGATTTTTTACAGAGAGGAGGAGAGAGGGATAGAGAGCTAGAAACGTCGATGAGAGAGAAACATCAACCAGCTGCCTCTTGCACACCCCCTACCAGGGATATGCCCACAACCAATGTATATGCCCTTGACCAGAATCGAACCTGGGACCTTTCAGTCCGCAGACTGATGCTCTACCACTGAGCCAAACTGGTTTCGGCCTAATCTGAGATTTTTTAAATGTAATAGTTGATAATATAAAAATACTTCTCTACTGACAGCTAAATGGATAAGCAAAATGTGATATATACATAAAGTGGAATTTCATTCAGCCTTCAAAAGGAAGGAAATGCTGGCATTGGATGAATTTCAAAGACATTATGCTGAGTGAAATAAGCCGGTCAGTCACAAAAGGACAAATATTGTGTGATTCCGTATGTATGAGGCATCTACAGTAGTCAGGTCCATAAAGATGCAAAGCAGAATAGTGGTTTCTAGAAGCTTGGCGCATGAGAGTGGGGAGTTTAATGGGTACTGAGTTTCAGGTTTGCAAGATGAAAAACATACTGGATGGATGGTGTGATGGTGGCATAACAATGTGAATGAACTTGATGCCACTGAACTATACACTTATACTGTTAAAATGGCAACATTTCTGTCCTATTTTTAATATAACACAATTAAAAATAAATACTTTAAAAAACTGCACTGTGATGCTGGGCCAGGCCTGGGGCTCAGGCTTCACGAGCCACATTTATGTTACCAGTGCCCCATGTTAGGGTTTGTTAGACTTTGCCAATAATCAGGATGGGGCTAGAGAGACACCCCAAGGTTGGAGGAGGGAGAAAGAACTGGCTTCTTCATCTTTGTTCTCTGTCGCTTCCTGTTCCTATGAGCAGCAGCACCTAGCTCCTGGGTGGGCTCCTGGATATGGACTGATACCTCACCTCACAGCAGCAATTTCTCCCTCTGGCACCAGCCAGCACCTTCTTGTCAAGGTTCTAGGACTCAGACCTCATGGGCATCCTCCAGATGCCAAGCTAGGAAGATATATTTGGAGAGTCACACACCGGCTCCATGACACTTGAGACAGGAAGTGGTATAGATCCCTTTCTCCCGCAGCCCATTCGATAGAATAAGTCACATGATCTGTCCCAGGAGGCGGCTGGGAAGTGTGGGTAACAGAGGGAGAGTCTGGTGAGCACCAGGGTGTCAGGCACATGCTCCAGTCTCTCTCAGTTTCCTTGTGCTCAGAGCACTGGAAGCGTCTCTTGTTCTAACATTTGTTTGACCCTGACACAGGCTCCTACAACCCTTGTGAATTCCTAATCCTATTGATTCCGGGTGGGCTCCTGGATATGGACTGATCTCCAGAAAGACCAAGCCGTGGTTGGAAATTTGGAATTTCCAGCCCCATCCTCCAGAGAAGAGAGAGGGGCTGGAAATGGAGGAACTAATTGTTCATGCCTACATGAGGAAGACTCCTTAAGTCCCATTGGTAGGGGACTTGGGGAGTTTCCAGTTTGCAGCATCCACATAGCAGGAAGATGTAGATGCTTTCCCCGCACTGGGGACCCTCCCAGACCTTGCCCTGTGTATCTCTTTATCTGGCTGTTCCTCGGTCTCCTTTCATAAACTGTGCTTCCCTGTGTTCTGTGAGCCATTCCAGCAAATTAACTGAATCAAGAAGGGGGCCATGGGAACCTCCAATTGGTAGCCAAGTTGGGTGGAAGTTGTGAGTAACCTGGGGACCTACTACTCCTGATTGGCTTCTGAGGTGGGGTGGGAGCCATCTTGTGGGACTGAGCCCTTCACCTGTGAGATCTCCAGGTAGACAGTGTCAGACTGTGTTAAATTGTGGGACACCCAGCAGTTGTCATGGCGAATTGCTTGGAAGTGTTCTGTATAAAAAGTAAAGGGAAAACATACAGGAGATGGAGTACGGGTTTTTTTTTCCTACTCAGGAGGGAAAGGCTAGGTTTTTCTATTCAGGCCTAAAAAGCAAAGGCCAAGGAAGAAAAAGCAGGGCCGTTGAGAGCAAATTAAACTGACAATTTAAAGTTTGGTGTTTGACGAATGTTTTTGTGTCCCTCTACCAAGAGCTATCAGACTAAGGTAACTACTGTGTGGATGAGCGCCACCTGCCGTCCATGCACAGTCACTCTCCCGGGAACCTGCCTGCTCTGGGTTGTAGGACTGGCTCCTTCACCATGTGCTTTCTTATTGTGGGGCATCTTATGGGGAGGGCCAAGGAGGATAAGTTTCTTGGCCCTTGAGATCTGGGCTTGAGTTTCAGCTCTGCCCCCGAGTCACCTGGGGCAAGCCTTTTCTCCTCTGAGCCTCCATTTAACCTTAAGTTTAAAATGAAAATGACACCTGTTAGATCTGTGAAGGGAATCTTAGGAAAATGCTTTGTAAACTGGAAATAACTGAAGGCAATGGAAAGAAGCATGGTCTGCAGTTGAACAGGCCTGGATCTATTTTTTAAAATAGTTATTGTGCACCAGCTGTATGCCAGCCACTATTCTGCATGTGGGAAGGTAGCAATGAATCAAACAGACAAAATTCATGTTTTTATGTAGTTAAAATCCTAGCCCTCCAGTTTCTGAGTCATTCATTCATTCATCTAAAATATTTTCCTGATACTGCTATGTGTTGGCACTTCCCTAAGCAGTGGGCAGGGAGGGATTCTAATATGGCTATAGCACAGGGAACAAAAGGGACAGGGTTGAAACAGGTTTTATGGGGCTTAAAGCTTTTAAAGTTTAGGGTATTCTTTTCTTAAAGAGAAAGAATACAAAGTCATAAATACCGAATTGGGTTAGCAAATTATTTTTTTAGAATAATAGAATAATAACAAATTACAAAATTTAAAAAGCTAATAAATATCACAAACATTATACAATCTAGAGCCAACATATTCTTACTAATTAGCTGCATGACATAGCTCTTTAATAAATTTTCCCTACTTTTTTTCTGTATATTCTTCGATAATCTAGTCACAAGACAATGATTATGTTGTTGTTAATCCTCATCTGAGGATATTTTTTCCATTGATTTTTAGAGAGAGTGTAAGGGAGGGAGGGAAGGAGAGTGGAGGGGAGAGAGAAACATTGATGTGAGAGAGGCATATCAATTGGTTGTCTCCCACATGCGGCCCTGCTGGGGATCAAACCTGCAACCCAGGTATGTGCCCTTAACCAGAAATCAAACCCCCGGTCCTTTGGTATGAAGGCCAATAGTCTAACCATTGACCATACCAGCACGAGTTGATTTTGTTGTCTTTTATAAAGATACTAGAGACCCATACGTGGGGTCCCTCAGCTTGGCCTGCACCCTCTCGCAATCCGGGACCCCTCA